TATAGTCAACTGATTCAAACTTTCGAGTTTATTAATAATTCATCGGGGGATACGTCATTAATGTAATAATTTTGTAATAACGCCCATGCAAATCCTACGTGTACTATTCCGTTCCTTGTTCGAGCATTATTAAATGTAATTAGCATAATACGGGGTAGAAGGGCAAGAATAAAGGAGAGGAAAGTATAACGTAATCTTAGAATTATTTATCTCGTTTATTTAAATTTTTTATTTAATTTCGTTCGATTAGAATCATCTATTGCTTATTTGGTAAAAATGGACGTGAAGAAATGAAACGATAATGTAAGAATGATACGATCGAAAAGGAAATTTAAAAATCAGTCGAAAAGTATAAAAATAAAAATATGGAATGAAATTTTTTCCTAGGAGACTCCATCTTCGAGAAAATCAAGTTTGAAATTTCGTTTTATTTTATCAGAACGAGCAAAATGGATTGTCTAAATTTACAACGAATTTTATTTTATTTTCTCGAATATAGAATTTTATGTGAAAAAATTTTATTCTATATCATCTCATTTTTAAACTAGAAATTAACTATTATCGTTTGTCTTATTAGACTTTCTGGAAATTAAATATATAAATTCTTATTCTTATAATCATTTAACTTCACTGAAATTAAATTTTTATGTTAATTTAAAATCCAAAACGTCGAATTATCAAGTATTATCCAACAATTCGAAATAAAAATGTTATCGGAAAAAAAAAAAGAAAAGTTTTATACGAGGGAAATCCGATAACTTATATGCAACGGAATGGAATCAAATATTAATCGAACCTCAGCCGAGTATGTGTATACTTCATGAAATTGAAATTCAATTTCCTCGAAAAAAACCAATGTACCATATATATACATGCGCGGCCAAATTTTACCCCATACGTTCAACTTGTTTCCACTGGCCGAATCGTCCCGTTCACATGCTGCATCGTGAATCACGTGTGCCAGTCGCTGTTTCGTTTGAAACAGTGATACACATTCATGAATAATATAACCCGATCTCGTGTACCGGTCCTACCAGCACTCACACTCGAGCATGTGTTTGCGTAGCCGGCAATAAGCATAAAAGCAAGTTCACTAGGAGAGCACTCGGTAATCAATTGGGATTTGCTAACAAAGTTTGTACCGGGAAATACGTGTAACGCGGCACTGTGAATCGAAATCGAAATATTCCTACTTAAGGTTGGTAACATGTTCAGTGAAATTATACGTGTATATAGGAAACCTGTGAATCGGTATGATAGGAAGCCTATTGCGCGTGAAATTCTTTGTGTAACAATTTAGATTTAAAATTTAAACAAAATATATATTTTGTACTACTATTAAAATATTTACTGATGACTTTACATATGAGATGTATATGTGAAATTTATTATAAATAATTCTATTATAGAATCAAATGAGATCTATTTTTCGACGAAATAAGAAAATTTAATTTTCTCGTTATGTTCAATTTTTTAAATTCTTAGAAATTTCTGTAATAGTAAATTTTTCTATATATATATATTATATAGACAATGTTTTAATATTGATTTAAAACATAAATTTATTTTCTTTTGAATAGATCTTTTGAAAAAATAAAAAATCGATAAATTTAATATTTATTTAACTTTAATATCATTAAATAATAAATTTCACTTTGTTTGATACATCGTATTATAAATTCGAAGCATCAACCTCCTCTCTGACATTTAATTTCCAAAAATTATCTAGAAATGAATTGTATTTTCATTATAACACATTATTGTTCATTGTTTCTTTACAAAATAATACATGTTCATCCGTTCAATATTAAATTATTATATGTTAAATAAATTTCTATCTTGTTTCGAATGTAATTAATAAAGAAAGTTGATCTAATTTTTAATTAAAAAAATTTTATATTGTATGTAAATGATATATTTCAAATTGTATCAAATTTATAACAAATTTAAAAAATAATAGTATCTATGCAAATATATCATTGAATTATTTTGATTTTTAAATACGTAATTCGCGGGATTTTTCGATTATCGTCTTTCGATTACATGATCGGAAACGTTATTTTTGAAACAAATTCTAATCGATATTTATACATGTATAACCTAATTAAATTTCTTAAAAAAATGTAATAATTTTCTAATTCTAAAATGTTATAGAGAATCATAAATCAATACATATGAAATAATAACAAGGAAAATTCCTTTGAAATTCAATAACGTAAATAATAAAAACTTAGTTTAGCTTGAAGGTTATATCAACTACGGTCACTCGAATCGTGACACACATGTACGAATCCACGAGACAATCTCTCGCCCCATATGTCGGTTAATCGTGACAGAAATTGAACAACTATTAAGTACACTGACCTTTATAAGAAATTGCTGGACACGATTCGAAATATGAATCTATGGTCACATTCCAAAATAACTTTGACGAATAAAATTCAAAATTACTCACGATTACACAGCAATACTGTCCAGCTGGCCCGCATTTCCAGTGTTCAAGTAATGTACCGGCATCTTCTTGACTGTTGTTGATCACAACCGTCTGATTCATGGTTTCATCGCGATCGTTTTAACAGCCGTTCGTCGTAAACACGAAATGTAACAACACTAGCGATCGACGATTTATCGGGATCGAGGATCTCGTTTTTCGTAGATTGACACAACGAACCCGCACGAGGAAGCACAACCGAATGAAAAGCGGACGCACTAGGACGACGTCCTCAACTTGCCTGTCGTTGAGGGCGCCGCGACGCTTATCGCGTTGTAAACGGTCGCCCACTGGCGCACACTCCTAGGACGAGAGCATCGATCGAAGCACCCTCTACTATCTAGCTTTCTTATTGGTCGATTATCGATGCGCGCGCAATCGTGAACATGAGATATTTCTTACGCATGCGTGATAGTGCTATAAGAAAAAGGGCGCAGAAGCATTCTCCGAGCTATATTTTTAACTTTTATGTTTTAATATTGTTAAATTGTGCAAATAAATTATAATAATTTATTTTGAGGTAAGAAAAAAGAAATCTATTTTAAAATAATAGAAGAAAGATATTTATAATTGGTTAATGTATACCATTCGTAGTGTCATTCTACGTGTATAATCTATTTAATTAAATAATAATATGATGTAACGATAATGAGTTAACGATAATGAGTTACAACAGAAATAATCGTTTTTTTAAATAAAAAACATTTATATTTAATCTTATTGTTTTAATTATATAATGAAATAAGTTGTTATCAATTTTATGAAATGCACATAGTATATTGTTCAATAATAAATTTAGCTATAGCATAGTATAGATAATCTATCAGATATTTTTATTATATAATTAACAAAAAAATAATATATTTTCGTACCAAACTTATTTACTGATAAAATTTGCGAGATTAATTAAAAAGGCATAGTTGTAAATTTGATTATTAGTAGTTGATTAGTCAGTTATTAGATTACATAATTCTTAAATTATTATATAATTCTAAAATTATTATAAGACACGCTTAAATTAATCAATGTAATATAATTTTTATACATAAAGTTAAATTCTATTATTTATTCTGAAACATTTATATTTAAAATTTTTTTAAATATTAATATATATAAAAACGATATTTTACAAAATTTTCTAACATACATAAAATCGATAAGATTCCATTTGATTTTTTACATAGTTTAAAATTCGACACAAATTTTTTTCAAATAATTACTTATTATTGTTACTATTTTATCTTATTTATATTATATTATTATTACTTTCATATCATTACATTTCTATTTTTATTGCAGGTACAATAGCATTTTATATCAATTATATTAAACTGGAAATAAAATTACTCCTATTATAGAATTTAAGATAAAATTTATAACATAAAATTTCTATTATGATATAACAAACGTGAAACCAATTTAAAAATACGAAAAACGATTATGCAAATACGATAATTAAATATTTCAGATCTCACTATTTTATTAAAAACAGATTTATAAACAATATCACATAATAAGATATTAATTATCAATAATTGAGAGAAATTTAATCAAATAAAAATGAATTAAAACGAATAAATAAAATTATATATTATTATTTAATTGTATTTTTCGAAGACTATTTTTTCATGCGCATATATAATGATAAAACTCTATATAAATGCTTACAATTTTCGATCAGAATCACATAGTCACGAAAATTGTTCTTATGAAACTTTCTAATAGTGGGATATTCATGGAAACATTCGAATAAAGTTTCGAATAGAAAGATTATTATAATAATCAATATCTTTTAATAACTTTTAATTTTAATATATAAATCTATCGTTACCTGAGCACAAAATACTAATCAAATATTTTAAAAAAATATAATTATAATTTATGTTTTTCTCGATAACCACTTAAAATAGTAAAAAGGATAAATTATAAAAATAAAAATATAGAATATATTGAAATACTATATCTTGAACTACCATTTGAAATATCATTAATAACTATAATTTGATGAAAATTATCTTCATAAAATAATAAAATAACAAAATTTCATTAAATAGAAAAAAGATAATTTCATATATGGAATATAAATAAGAAAATTGAAGTAAATTAAATTAAAATTACATACAACAATACATCATAGAATAACTATAGGATAAATTCAATTTTGCAAATTCTCTTTCTACAGAATATAAAAATTACTCTTCACCTTATTAAAATCATTTCCTCCTTTTGCACAGAAGAATCTTTCTTCAACTATAACTCCATAAAATACATACATACGTTCAGTGATGTAATTGGAAATAGCATTTATCTCCAATTTGCCCTGCCTACCAAGAATCCCTTAATTTCAATAGATCGTCGAGCATCGAAGCAATTATCGACCAAAGTTCCATGGAGGAAGGATCTAATCTTAAATTGGAACGTGGCCCATCGTCGAATAAAATACACGCTCAACGAGACTCCTCGTTAAACGAGAATCGGTCGAGGAGGTGGCACATAACTCAACGCGTCAATTATTGGTCAGATTATTGGTCCTCTCTCCGTTTATTAAAAATTCGTTATTTTTACTCGCGTGGCGCGTTTCTAGGTGAAAATATTTGCCCTATGCTGCCGGAACTTTTGAAGGACGTGTGGAGGGAAGCGTCGTAGCTTATCAACGTTCTCTTGACTTCCTCGCACCAATTCCAAAAGACCAGCCTCTGATCCCTTGCCTCCAAGTCGGCGAGAAGCAAAGATAGGTTCTTGGCCACGGTTGCATCGATTCTGAGCACGTGACGACCTTCCACTACCACGGGAATCGTTCCTTCCCTTGTGTCACACCTAAGTAAGTAACAATAACGTCAGGTTAACACCAGGTATCCAAGATTCGATTTATGATCCAATTATGAGAGAAAAAGGTAGTAAAGTAAATAATGGCCGATCTACTCGCCACGACATGACGCTTTCACGAAGGTATTCGGCGGCTGGATAGCTCAATGATTGTTTCGGCGATACAAACAGGATCGTCGCACCATCGACAACACGTTCCTCGATCAATAATCCAGGCCTGGCCGCGAAATAGAGCAGGAGAATTAGATTTACCAGGATCCCGGCAATCATACCGTATTCTGGACCAATTGCCAAGCAGCTCGACAAAGTCACCGTCAAAGGTATCAAGTCGATCTCTACGAGTGGAGGCAAACGCTGAATTATCGAGATCTTACAATATACGGGTAGATGGGAAGAAATTCATTGGCTGAAATGAGTCGTTAAACGAGATTAATGTCATTTCAGAGGATGAAACGTGTTTACCATAGACTTAAATTACGTGCAATAGGGTGTTCGATAAATGTATACAAGTTACTTTTCGTCCTCCAGAGCACGACGAAAATATGAGGCTCCAGCATATAGTACATGGCAACTATGATCACCGCAGCGAGCGTTGCTTTAGGGATGAATTCGAAAGTCGAAGTCAGGAGGCCACACGCTAGAAGCACCAGGCATCCGGTAATTACACCGCCCATTGGTGTTTTTACGCCCGAGGCGTTGTTTACAGCGGTCCTTGTGAAGCTTCCTGTGGTTGGCATTGATCGAGAAAAGCTTCCAAAAATGTTACAAAGTCCTAAAGCTAGCATCTCTTGATTAGCGTCAACGGTTTTCCCTTTGGCTAGGCAAATAATCAAGATAGTGAGAGATAATTAAAATTTTTTTTTTCTATGTGTCAATGATATAATATATAAAAAATAAGTACAAGTTGTTCTTATTGCAAAGCAATTTGTCAGTGAAAAATCAATGAATTGAATGTAAAAATTAAATGATGAAATGAAGAAAGGATTTTTCATTTAAATGGAATTATCAGAGGAATTCAATGTATTCTCTGTTGCATTACAAGGAGGGTATTATAATTAACTTTGTTTGACAAATACTTGTTACCAAACTTTCTTCTTCAAGTTGAAACGATATTATTTAATGTAATAGCTTTGAAAGTATGATTTTTCTTTATTTTTACTTTACTTTAACTTGTGTTTTATTTGAATTTTAATTTAATTTTTGTCTTGTTGCTTGTTAATTTTGATTTTAAAAAATTGTATTTAGAGCATATCTTCGACGAGAATTAAATTATTTGAACAACGTACCAAAGGCTTTGGCAATAGCAATGCTTTCCAAAATTGCAATTAACGGGACTGAAATGACGGTGCTTCCTAGTTCACCGATTAATTCCTCGAAATGATATGTATGGTTTCCCTTTACAAGGGAAAATGATGGTGGTGCAAAGGACGGTAGACCTTCTGTTATGTTCCCAGTACTTTTAAAGATTTTAATGCCATAAGAGAATAAGGAATAATTTAATATTATTCCAAAGATGACGACCACAGCGTTCCTGGCCAGCGATGTGACCCACATGAATTTTTCAGTCACTGTGCCTGTCTTCTTTCCAGGTAGTTTCTATTTTTTGATATTTAAGAAAATAAAATTCAAATCCAATTAATTAATTATTAGCCAATATATATTATTGATGAGAAAAGAGGAAAAAGAAATTAAAATCTTTACAAAACAAATATGAAAATGTATAATTGTTGTATGATTAAAAAAATCATGAAATTAATTTTAAGTGTCAAAAGAAATCTTACTTTGAGGCAGACGAGTAGGATCATGGAACAAATTCCTAACAAGGGATCCCAAAAGGTAATTTTATCGAAATGATTGACAACTTTAGCAATTGCATCGATGAACGAATCGCTTCTGCCACTTAAGCCGAGCAATGTGCCCAACTGAGATGTTCCAATTATTATGGCAGCGGCATTGGTGAATCCAGATATCACTGGCATACTAACAAACTCTACAAGAAATCCCAAGTGGAGCAACCCCATAAGCAATATCACGCAGCCAGCCAGGAAGCACAAAAGTACCTGAGAAGCAAAAAGAATTCATTCATTTTTAATTAAAATTCAAAATTATTGAGTTTATTTTTATTTCAAGATTTTGTTTTTTTTCTACACGGAATTTCTTTCAAAAATTAATTTACTAGTTTTATTATTCTATAAAATTATCATCTAATATTAATTTTCAAAATTTTGGTAATAAAAAAAATGATCAATTTTAATTCCAGTTTTTGAGGATTCCACGAATAGGCTTCGTTTATTTTTTAAAGAAATTTTTAAAGAAATTTATTAAATTAGAAAATAAAGATAGTTTAATCTTATGAAAAAGATGCACTTACCGCAATATCTTCTCCGAGTCTTATAACATGCTGTTGCGACAGTAAAGCCATTATTGCCGTAGGTCCCACGGTGATATCTTTGCAGCTACCGAACACCAAGTAGACGAAGCATCCCATGAAACTGCTGTACAGGCCGTACTGAAGTTTTCAAAAGTTCATCTAACGAGAATCATCTTTCCCACTAATGTCTATTCACAACTACTTATTTTTATTAATTATTTCCTACTATTGTGATCACTTTTGAGAGGTAAATTTTTAAATGTGTATGATTATTATTGAATAATAAATGTATTTATTTTAATAACAAGAAATTTAAAAAATTGATAAATTTGTTTAATAAAATCATCAATTTATAGGTATTTATACAATTGTACAAGATGTATTTATTGATCAAGATAATTATTTTTATTATATTCAACAAAATAGATTGAAATTTTTACAAAACAAAAAAATAATATGACTTTAAAATTTGATTGATGAAAAAGGAAAAAGAAAGGGAAGAAATTTGTTGCTTATGAAATTTATGAAGAAAGAGATTTCAAAAGATATATATAATGAATATAATATTTCAAGATCCTTCAGCAATAATTAGTAATTATCTTAATATGGAATGTCTAAATCTTCTTAAAAGATTGTGAGCAAATGCTTCTTATTAGCTTTGAGCAAATATAATTATTACTTATAGCGGCTTAAAAATTCCAAAATATCAAAAATATTAGCCATGCAATGAAATGACAAGAAAATATACCAATATAATTCTAATGAAAAACTGAATACATATTTTTATGTGTAAAAATAAGTAAGAAGAAGAGATTAATTACATTTTAAAGATCTAATTCCATTTCAATTTTTCTTTCTCTGAAATTTTATTTAAATTCCAAAAAAAAAGACTTTATCTGACAAATGTACACACCTGAGCTGGAAGTCCGGCTACAATTGCATAAGCTATACCCTGTGGTATAGCAGTCAAACCAACAGTCAATCCTGCCAAGATGTCTTGTAGAAGTTTGGACGAACTATATTGAGGTATCCATGCCAAGATTGGTATCCTTCGTAGAAGAAGCTGCTTTAAATTGAATCCAGAAGTCACGTTTCTCCCTGAAATTTTGCAAGTTATTATTTATATGAAGAAAATGAATTGTTTTTTCAATTAACGATTTAAAAAATATTTAAATAATTGAAAATGAAACGAAAGTTCTTGTTTATTAATCTCGAACGTAAAATTTATGATAGAATTAATTTTTAACTTTAACTTTTAAATAAGAAATGAGAAAATATAAAATTAATCGTTTTATAAATGAGATATGTATCTAAATAAGTAATTAAAGAATCAATTAAATAGTATATTAACAAAATTTTTAATTAATTGATTAATTATGTAATTAATTTTAAATGAAAATGTTTATTATCTCATTTGGAATATCATTTCAAAATCATTAATGAAAATTCATATTTTTCGAACGAACACATTTTTCAATCAATAAATGATTAAGTTTACATACGTATATCGTATTTTACAGGAATTCTTCCAATAATTTACCAATTATGGAATAAATAATTACATATTGACAAACACTATATTCTGTTAAGAGATAATGGATACACATTAGTTTGATAAATCGATAATATAATAGCAGATAAACATTAATTTATTCGTGAAAATAATAGATTACATAGATTATATTGATAATATATAGTTAAATCGCTGAAAATATGTTGAGATTAATGAAACTATGATTTTATTCAATGTTGTCAGTATAAATAATTTTATATACAAATAAATCAATATCAGATAATCAAATTTTAATACAAATTTTTAATTGAAAAAATCTAAAATTAAGAATTTAAAAAAATTTTTTTAAACTATAGTTATAAATATACAAATATGAATTATAATTTTATATTTCTTTATTTTTCTTAAAAAGTTCTTACTTGTAGAAACTGGTATATATATCATTTCCGACATTTTTCACTAATTATCTCACAATGAAACTACACTTGAAAAATAATAATGAATTTTCATTACAAACACGTCAAATCGAATCGATATTCACGGATATATTTTACGCTAAAGAAATACGTTTCATCGACAATCCTATTTCTAAGAGGAATAAAACGATACTTTGATTCTTACACAATAAATGCCGGATGAAAAATGCCAAGAACGGAAATTAAGTCCTCAATAAGGATATATTACAACATATTCGTTACATTGACTATAACTTTTATATTGTTAGTATTTTCATGATGTCTTTTGATGATGTCAGCATATTTATACAAAATTACTTTCATAATAAAACGTTACAATATTATCATATAAAATAGAAAATGCAATATATGTCTTATATTAAATATCTCAAAAATTATTGAATATATTTTTATAATTATTTGAAAATTTTAATAAAAAAATCCGAAATGAATTTTTTATTTTTAAAAAATCATTAAATTTAAAAAATTTTGAAGAAAATTTAAAAGAATATATATGATCTATTATTTGATTTGCAATAGTTTTAAAAATAAATAAATTTATAAAATTCAGATAAATAAAAAGACAATTTTTCATATATAGATATTTTAAATGACAAATTAAATTTAATATATTTTCTTCTTGTTAATAAGAATTGAATTCTATTTTTCATTTTGACATTATTAATTTAGGTCATAGTATTTTTTATAACTAAAATATGAAATTCTTGTCAACTTTTCTCAAAGATTCAATATTTGTTCGAGATAACGTAAATTATATTTATATTGTACATCAAATTGGACCAGATGAAATATTACAAGCAATATTTTCAACTTTTATGTTTGTACGAAATTCCCGCCTTTCATTTTTCAAATCGCATATAAATTCTGAATAATATTTCTGAAAATAAATAATATGCATATTTGAAATTTTGTTTTATTATGAAAACTTGGAGCAAAAATCGGAAAGATTGATATAACTAAAAGAATTATAAATATACTTAAATATACACATCATATATATGTGTCATATAAAGTTAATACTATAATAAATCTTAAAATATTAATAAACAATTTAATTCTTCAGTTTAGAAATATTTTTAAAAAACATAGATATTAAATTGTGCGATTTTACGTATTAGAAAAATTAGGAAAATTAGGAAAAATTTTGTAAAATAAACGATAGATTCTTTCAATAACCTAAAAATATTTTATATATATTTAATGCTATTATATATATATATATGTGTGTATGTGTATATTTATATCTGTATATTTTTTTTTTTTCGTACTGATTTTATGTCTACCTACATAGTACCATAATTTAAATACACAATCTTTTCTTGATCAATAAAACAATTGATTTAAATCACGAAATGCAATATATTGTGCAAAAAAAAAAGAAGATTTACAATTGATGTATTCTATTATACTGTTCACATTCACGATTTTTACACTAGTATACTTAATGAAATATGATCACAATTAAAATCACGGTAAGTAACCAAGGTACGGTATAAATAAATTTTTGATATAAGATGAATATATAGATAACATGTGATTACCAGACTCTGTAGATAAGACAGATTCGAACTGACAATATATTGACACTGTGTAGAGGGACTTTCTTTATTCACCGAGATATTTCAATTTGGATGAAACATTTTATCGGATGAGTTTAATAATTCCTCTTGATAACAAGTCACATGATTAATAACGACAGTAAAATTACAGTTTCGTAAGAAAAAAATCCTAATCCGCCTTTCAATAACATTCAAGACTATGATTTAATAATAATACTCGCAATGATTTTGCAAGGGAAATCTTTAAAAGATAAATAAAAACAGAATAATGTTGAATTTTGATTAATTTTTTATGATTCTTATATATTATAATATTTAAATTTTGTAATATATATAACATGTAATAATATGTAATATACATACTATATAAAAACCTAACCTAGAATTTTTTTACAGTTAAATCAAGTCAATTAAAGAATAAGTATTATAATTTTTATCTAAATTTTAACCTCAAAGTAAATAATATATATAAATAATAATAATAAATATAAATAATAAAAAAATATATTTTAATAGTAATACAATAATTTTATAAAATTGGAAAATGATTTTCAATAAAAATATGATTAATTTTTTTTAATAACATGATTTATTTACGTGACAAATAATGACAATAGTTCGATATATACATCAAGTAAAAAAAAAATTAACAAAAACATACTTATAATAAAAATTTCAATGAAGAGCCAATACATCAATGAAATATTAGTATACTATTCAATGAAGAACGAAATATAATACATAAACACACTATCATAACAAATATGATTTGACACATATTATGTATATATAATAACATTTGGAATATTTTTTTGATATATGGTTTTTGAACAAATGATATAAACAACACATTGATTATTTATACAGTAAAATAAAATTTATATATCCATAAAATAATTAAAAACAAAAAAAGTATCAATTATTATTAGAAAATCAATCAATATATAAAAAAATCAATAAAGTATATTGTAAATTGTGAAAGATGTTAAATTAACATTAAACTGATAATAGTCTTCATATTTCCCATAAATACTCAGCAATAAAATATAAGTCATGATGCTATGTAATAAGAAACATATGATATTTCATATACCATGTCATATTCCAAAGTCATATTCCAAATATCATCTTTAAATAATGTCTTTGTTCATTGTATACACTATTATTCTTAAATTTGAAAATATTTTTTCAACAAATTGATATTGTAAATATGAAATACAGTAAATGAACACCTATTGTAATTTTTCAAAAATAATAACTATCATTTAATTTTAGTTATTATAAATATTTTACTATAATATTGCTATTTATCTATTTAAAAAATAACATTTTTAATAATTTTAATCGTATATTTCAATACATTTATAAAAAAAAGAAGAAACTAGAATGCATTCATTAATCAAAAAATATTTAAATTAAAAAAATAAAATCTTATAACTTAAAATGATAACCTAAATCTAAAATAATATGTATAGGTATATAAAATCGTAATAATATAAACAAATTAAAATAACAATAATATTCTTAAACAATATTTTTTTCATTAAAAAATCAAATTTTTTAAATTACATTAACATTTCATTAAAACTTGTATTTTTTATTTACAATTTTTTTTATAATCTTATAATTATAAACATTGAATGTCTTATAAATAATGATGTATTCTATTTTTCATGATAATAAAAAATATCAATATAATATTTGAAAAAAATATTTATTATTCTTATTAAAAAAAATATCCTTATTCTTATTATAATTGATTACACACTGCACTGAATATCAAATTAAAACTTATGAACTTCAATAGCTGAAATTAATAAAATAAATTATATTCAAATAAAAGTAAATAAACTTTAAAAAAATATTTTTAATAATAATCTCAATTATAATTCTTCAAATAAATAAAATATGACAGATAAAAATAAGATAATGTCTTTGTAATTTATCTTTATATTGATTATTTTATGTTATCAAATATACTTACAAATTTGCTATAAATTCCACAGATAATATTTTATATACTTTTTAAAAATTTCTGAAAAATTAATAATATATCATAAAATTTATAATTCGATTAAAAGAATAGGTAAATTTATCTTCTATCATATATTATTTCATTCTATTATCTCATATATATATAATATAATATAATATAATATAATTTAAAAATAAATAATATATTAAAATTGAAGAAATATTTAATATTAAAAGAGAAAAAAGGAAAAATTAATAATCACATTCATATATTTATATTATCATCACAAGTAGATTCGAACTCACATAACCAAAGAATATCTAATTTCTAGATATGCATTTTAACCGTTCATCCACTGTTTCATTTGTTTATGATTTTTATTATTACATAAAAACTATAAAAAAATATTTAGATATAAAATATTAAAAAATTTATATATTATTATAAAATTCTTTACGGAAATGAATTGAAAAATTGTATAAAAACAATGATTCATAAATTTTACACGATTATCCATTGTACACAATATCACAAATATAATGAAATACCGAATAAATACACTTATGACGATGCAAATTTAGTTGTCGACAAATTATTAGTTAAGAAATCAACTTACTCAACAACGGTGTTTGCTCTCCGATGCTTCTTCTGTTATACGACATTTTTGCATTATCTATATTAAAACAACTACTTTCGTACGATGAACACAAAAGTGTTCACATCACATAACGTTATGACTAATCTTAGAAGTAAGGTCGATAAAACAGAACATTATTATTAAGCACCATTTCTGATATAGTATTATCATTTGAAAATATATTATTTATAATGTCATGAATATTTTATTATGTCTAATAAAATTGCTTCATTTGTTCTAAAATAACATATTTTGATATAAAAATTATAAAATTTAAAATTATAATTTTTATTATTAAATGATATAATAATGAAAAATTTTTTCAAATTATATTTGTTTATTTGTTCTTTTATTCTTTTAATTGTAAAGTTTAGTAATTTAATTTTAAGTTTAAAAATTTCAGTTTATTGATTTATTCTTTTTTATTGAAAAAAATAATAATTTTAAATTTTCATTTTTTCGAAATAATACAAACAGACTAAATTATTTTTCTAAAAATAAAAAAATAATTTTCATTATATAGATCAAAAATAAAAACAAATACGAATTAAAGACAATTAATAACTATTTAAAAGCATATTATCTGCAATAACTATTTTAACGCACGTGTGCTTAAATAAATCTAATCTTGACAAGGGACTACAGGTGATTACATTTCCTACTGTTTTATCGATTTGATAGCCTTGATCAAAGCGATATCTTTGCTCGTAACAATTTGCAAAATAATTGTCTTGAAAAATTGTTCAACAAGCATGCTAACTAAGACATGTCCTTGTTAGTTTGTCCTTACTTATTAAAATAATTGACTTGTACGATACTTTTTAAATAAAATTATTATAATCTATAATATCAAATAAAAGGAACAATAAAACTGATTTTTTGTACAAAAAATTTTATACAAAATCTTATCTATAACAATCATGTTTATAAATTGTAAATTATTATATTTACAATTATATATATAATTATAAATATCACACAAGTTGATTAATTTCTATTAATTTATTTGTTATAAATCATTCAGTTACTCATATATGTATGTATATCTATCTTTATTTTATGTCACAAATGTTTGATTTCTGAAAAATTGTAATTATAATAAATTTTTCATTCAAAATTTAAATATATATTAATGTATGTAATTATGTATAATATTAATATATTATATATAAGATAATATAATTATAACTTATAAATATTTTATAATTATAACTTAAAATATTTTATATATGCATAAATATTTATAAAAATGAAAATTTACTTAAAGAAAATATAACATAAACAAAACATAAACTATTTAAATAAATATAAAACTAATAAATTTAAAACATTAAATTTTATAATAGCTTTTATACTATATATTTATATTGTTGTTTAGCAATGGAAAATAACGCACAAAGATAATTTTATTACCTAATATGTTTCTCTGAAATATCGCTATTATGGTTCATTAAACAAACAAATTGTTGTTCCCGTAATAATAAAATTAACTATTTTAATATGTAATACATTAATTATACTAATACAGGAATACATTATTACGTTGAGAAAAATATACTGAATTCCATTGTTTCTCATAATATTGCACTCAACTAATGATTTTACTTAAGGGGAATCATATTAATTACTTGTTTGTGAATTTATTAATTACTTGTTAATAATTTTACTGATATACTTTTGTCTATTCTGCTATATTTCTTTTAATTTTTTTAATGTCAGATCTGATTGATTTTTGATGATTGATCTGTTCGAATCAATATTATATTAAAATATATTAGAACGAGTATACAAAAAATTTTATGATCGAACGTGTGCATTCTGTATTTACGACTTACATAATTGATTGTGCAACATCAAGAAATCATCAACGATCATAACTCTTTTCAAAGGAATAATACTTAAAAAATAAATAAATTTCATATTATCATTTCTTCAATATTAAAATTTTTCACATATTTTGCATCCTAAAAAAAAAAAATTTATACAAATAATTATTTCAACAATTATTTCACATTCATTTTAATTTAGTTATTAATGAATACAGTACATTATATTATTAAATCTAATATATAATAACAAATTCAACATTCATTGTAACACATAAATAATTAAAAGAAATAATGAAAAATATTTTTGTACATTGTATGTATTTCTTAATTAATTAATTAATTAATAACAGTGAATAGTTCAAATAATATAATTTTAAAATACCATTGGTTTCAATTTGTACCTACTAAAACCATTGCTTGTTTGTTTTTCTTAAGGATAAAGTTCAATGACTCTTATGTCTTCAATATTAAAGAGCCATCAATTTTTTTTATCAACTTTCTCTACTAACACATAGTTTATGAATTAGAAATTTTTGCAAAGTAACAAAAAGCGAAATCGACGAGGATGGGATTCGAACCCACGCGTGCAGAGCACATTGGATTAGCAGTCCAACGCCTTAACCACTCGGCCACCTCGTCCGATGAAAACGGCTGCTTTATTAACTTTATTTCTTGTAAACCATCCCTAAAATGAAATAAATACATATGATTTATATAATTTACATGTTATATTCTTAACCTTATTTTTAAAATGATATAAATATTCTCCAATTCGAAAGATATAATCATTAGTATTTATTTATCAATAAACGAGAATATTAAAAAGAAATGTATATATAATATTTTAATATTATAAATCTGCCAATATAATCTGTCCATTATCTAATAAACACGATTCAGCACAATTTAATATTTTTGAGTTTCAGTTAGAAAAAACTGTACAAAGTGTTTTAGTAAGAATAAGAAAAGAAACTAGATGAAGAATACACAAAAGACTGGATGGATAATTTCTTATGAAAAAAAAATAAATCGATAATATAGAATACATAGTTCGATTTTTGAAAATCAAAATAAATATTTAGTGTTTGTTTCTTTTCGAAATCTTAATTTTGTAAAAAATTATCTTTCTTTCGATTATATCATTTTCAATAAGATCTATCTATTCTATAAATCTATCCTATATTTATTTTTATACATATTAAATTATTATATATATAATATATAATTATATATATATATATATAAATTTAAATATCTTTCGTAAAAAATATAGTAATTATAATATTAACAACAATATTGATACAACACTGCTATGACTAAATTAATTCAATAATATATTTATTATTTAAATGAATTATTAAAATATTTGTTTCATACTTAATCAATAATTTGAAAAAGATAAAAAGGAAAAGAAATAATTAGCCAAGTACATGAAAAAGAATTCTGAGATAACGGATTTAAACATTAACGCGTTTTAAAAGAATTTATAAAGAATACAAATAACTGTCAGCCACAGACAATACATGTTCGATCATAGATAACAAAGAACTATGTATAAGCACACATATTTACTATTATATCGGTCGAGAAATTGGAAATTCTAAAAATCACGTGATTACTACTTGAGCCAATGCAAGTGTACTTCATATCCATGAACTTCATATTTTAACAGAGTGCTTTCTAACCAACTTTGAATAACATTATATATGATCTTATAAGAAATGTTAATGTTACTATTTTCAAAAATTAACATATATTTAATATATTGAACTTTTAAATGATAAATAAAATAAAACATACAAGAAATATAATAATTTCAGTGAATATATAAATAACATATATATAAGAACATAAATAAATAAATGAAAAATGATAAAAGTTATCGTAATTCAAAGAAAATGTATGCTGACACTGTAATTTTGACATTCTTTGTAGTGGTAAATTAATTGCAGGAACTGATAATTATGAAATCTGTGCAACATGAGCAAGTTCCATTACAAGTATTCATGACTAATTAAATTATTTAGTACATTTTTGAAATTACTTTTATCCACAATTAAACTTCTTTTGTAAAGATTCATGAATGAAAGGTAATTATTGATAAATTTCTCTAAACTGGTACAATTTAATATTTAATTTGAAACATATATTATTACCAAGAACATTATTAATATTAAATATTATTTTATTTAACATTATAGAAATTTGCAAGATTTATATAGTTTAGAATAATAAAAATTATTTTTTTAAATCATTTATTGTCTAGTACTTTTAAATTAAATTAATGATGATATATTATGTAATTTCCATAAATAATGATTATTATGTAATAATCCATAAATAATCGATAATGACATGACTTATGTAAGTTGATTAAAAAATTTTTTTTATTAAATTAATTAAATCTTTATTAAAAAAATAACATAAAAATAAACATTAAAGACGTTTAATATATTTCTCTATTCTTAACTTTCTAGAAAATTATTGATTTTAAAGATCATTATCAATAGATTTAACATAAAGAATATTCGATAAAACGAAATTTATGGTGACTTGAAACTAATGGACAATAGTATAGAAATGGATTATATAACTCGAAATTTACCAACATTTCAGGTCATGCAATTATCGAAGATGATAATTGTATATAAATAATTGAAGGTATGACAATAGAAGAATGATATACAGGCAAACCGTTCTGCGAACTTTTCTATTGTTTCATTGAAGAAACTATTTCTGGGATTTCAAAACGTAACGTTGTTCACCGATTGCCTTAAACTTTAGGGTAATTCCAATATATATGAATCGAATCTGATATTTCCATTCGAAGAGAATTGATGATGCAAAAGAAAATTACCGATATCGCAACATTTTCTTTTTTCTTCTTTTTTACTGTAAATTCTATTTTAGATCGAAGGTCCAACCGTAACAATGCGTTCCGACGAAACAAAGTTTTTCCTTGCAGAAAAACGTGACAGATACAATGAAGCCGGATGTTAACTCCCATAGAATAGAATCAAATGCAGTTGATAATTGTAAATGACTTTTTTTATTCCGTCCGATACGATTTGTAACGTGATTCAAACGATATTATTTTCTGGCTTGATTACGCTAACAATAAGTATGAATTCACATGAATTCCATTTGCAGCAAATATGCACTAGTATGATTGGTAGTGATGTAAGAAAGAACGGAAATAAAATTGCAAGATAGCAAGCAGACATGTAGAAAAGATCTTGGATTCATAAAGAAGGTATCTGAGTTTATCCTTAATGATCCCACGCGACTACCGACCGAATTATGTAACGTATATGTATAACTGGTAAATAGTAATTAATATTATCATGATAAAAGAATTTTTATTTAAAAAAATGCTTTCATTAACCAAGCATTTCAATAACTATGTTATAATAATTTTTGTAAGCCATGCTTTATGCTATGTCATGCTAATTTAGAATAATTTACAAATTCTTAATTTAAAATTCAAATTTTTCGAATTTTATTCATTCGTAGAATTTTTTTTATGCTTATTTATTATTAAATAGAAAAATATATGTTAATGAAAAATTATATAATATATGTTATTATGTTTAACACATGAAAAAACATTGCTCAACATTAAAGGAATGATGTGAGTAATCATGTGAGTAACATCCAAATTATTCATTACATCATTTTGATAAATTATTCTGGACAATTTATATTTACATAATAATGAATAACGCAATCGATCTGAATTAAATAATAATTTACTGATTAGCAATAAAAAATAAATTTTTCATAGTTTTTATTAAAATTATTTTTTCAAATATATATATATATATATATATTTTCGAATTCGTTGAATCAATTTTTTAGTAAATTAATTAAAAATATTTATCTTTAATTAAAAAAATAGTAAATTTAAAATGTAAAAATATATATATATATGTTTATTAGATGCAAATTTATCAATATTGTTAAACAATATATATATGTATTCGTTTTTAATTACCTACGAAGAGAATTCTTCGTTCTGACAGGAACAAGATTATTCTTCAAATAAAAAGAATTTACTTAGATCAAGAATTGTATAGAATGAATATAAATTTTGATTTTGTATCTATAATGTATCTACTATTTTAAAAAAATAATAATTAAAAAATATAAAAAAATTAATTAAAAAAATATAAACAATTTTTTTCAATTTTTTTAGTCTTCTATATTTTAATTTTAAGTTTTTTTATATGAAACTTATATGCATTTTAATATAAAAAGTGATATAAAGTCATTACATACTAATGACACTTTAGAGTATGATTTCAGATCTACGTATTTAGTAATCTGAATCTTGTTTAAGAAATTTAAACGTTATGTTTTCACCCTGCTAATTAAGAGACATCCTTTGATTCAATTTCTAATTTGTTTTTTTTTATCGCAACAACAATTTGAAAATCGTTTCGAAAATTATCCTTAACAAGCAAAAATTGGATGATTGATACCAATTTCAAGCTACTTCATAAAAGATATGAATTTAACAATAAAACTAATAATCTCTTCTAAAATTTACATAGTAAAATTTTTTATAAAAAATTTATATAAACATTTATATAAAAAAAATATCATATTATAAGATTCTAAAAAATTTATAAAATACAATTTTTTGTATTAAGAAATATTACCATATGTATTTTATCATTGAAATTTTAATGATAAGTTTGTAAAATATAACCTCAATTGAATAGTTTTTCAGTTTCATGTAAATAACAAAATCTGTTTATATTTCTTTTTTTTTATTTATAGGTTTAAATTAATAATAGATTTAAATTAATGTATATAGAAAAAAATATATTGATATATGATAAATCGTTAATTATATAATGAAATTAAATAAAGAGAGGAAAATTGAAAGAGTTCTACGAAATAGTTCAAGAAACAAGAATAGGTTTTTTTACATTATAGAAATCAATTTATCATTATATTAAGGAAAAAATACTCACCAAACAAATTTCGTAAGAATAGTCAAATCATTTTATTCACTTTTCTAAAGATATTTATGCGTTCGCGGGGATTCACATCTAATCATTCCTACTTTTTTTTATTTTCATTGCCTTTCAACACACGATGCTGGTAGTGCAGTGACCAACGTGTAGCGTGGACTGACTCAGAAGCACGTGACGATGTTTTAGGAGAGATGGGTATTAATGCGCAGACGCATCAGCGCACCGCGCAAAGGCGAATTCTTGGCTGTCAAGTTTCAGCTCAGGTGAGCGTTCCCTTCAGAGAGACTCGGGTGACGTTTGCAACGTTCGAACGTTTCTAAATATATCCGTTCAATTCGTATCGAACCTTAGCAAAGAATTCAACGAATATACAACCAGTGTTATTTTTTCATTTAAACGGTAACCTAAATTTTCGCGCAACAGGTAGAAACTTCTTGTAAGTATAACCTGAAACAAATTTTCAAACGTTTTTTACGTGACGGCAGTCGCACGTGGTAAAAATTTCTCGTTAATCGTTATAAGTTAATCGTACTTTCGATTTTTGCAATAACGTTGTAAAATTGTGAACGGAAACACGTTTACCGCGACGCCAGTGAACTCACCGCGAGTGTTCTCGAGAAAGAGGAGAAAAAAGAAACAGAAACGATCGTGGCATTCGCAAGGAAAACGACACGCCACTGCCAGTGGACGCGCTACTGGACATGATGGCTTTAGGAATTACAATTACCATGGTTCATTGTTGGCTGTGATGTGACAGGTATTTACGTATACCATTGTGTTTGTATAAATCGTAGATTCGAAAACTACGAGAAAGTGGAGTGAATCGAAAGATATTTGTAGTAGAATTTAGAATGATTTCGAAAAGAAATCGGAAGATTTCAGAGTACGAATGAAAAAACTATAAAGAATTTTCTAACGGAATTTCAAAATATTTGTCCTAATCGAAATTAGTTTCGATTTTTTAATGAAAGAAATTTTTTAAATAATTTATCAAATATTATTTGACAAAAACCACAATAAATATTATATAGTAATTTTAAAATTATATGAAAAAAATTACAAAAAATTATAAAGACATTGGAATTTTCTTTTTTGACGACTTGATATTCTGAGAATGTAAAAAGAATTGAATTAATTAGCGCTCTTCAGTAAGAACTAATTTCAATAAGAACTATTTGAATATTATTTATCTATCAATTACATTTGATTATTATGATTCTCTTACTAGTTATTGAAAATTTTCTTAGAACATTTTATATTATATGTATAATATAATATGTATAATATATTATATATATAATATAATTATAAACAACATTTTTTTATAATTATTATGATTATATATTACTAACTTATCACATAAATTTACAATACGTTAATCAAATAATAAAATAATAAAAGAATAAAGAAGAATTAAATTTCTAGATTTACGTAACAAAATATCTCAATAGATAAAAAAAATAGATCAAGGAATTTTTCTAATGCTTCGTAACGTTATGTATACAAATTTACAATATTAGTCGATATCATTGAGATTTATAATATGATATTCGTCAAATCGTTTAAATTTATAATATTCGTCGAAATCGTTAAGAGAAAGCATCATCCGCTTTTATATAGGATTATAGGCCTTCTAATAGACTTTCGCACGCATTTAGACGAACAATCACAAATACGTAAGTGAAACGAATGTTACGAATCGAATGAAAAATTTCACGTACAATTATAGTGTAATTATGAAAACGTGCGTAATTTAAAATGTAATAATAAAAAAGAAAGAGAGGCAACAGATCGTAATATAGAAAGTTTTATTAAAAATCTTGGAGCATCAAAAATGAAACATCAATAATTCGATATATCGATAATATCGTTAAAATATCGATTCGAATATATGGAATTATCGATCGATTGAATATCGAAATTTCTATTTTTTTTATTTAAATTTATTATTAGAAATCTTTCTAACAATTACTTATGAATTATCGATATTTCATTATTCATACATTATTTTCGATATATTTAAAATATATCGAATCGTTAGATCGATATCATTAATACGAATATAAGTAAGTTTATGAAAAAATATAATTTTTTAATAAATATTATTAATAAAAACTATTTATTTTATTATTTAATACAAATATTTTTAAATATCTTAATAAAAACTTTAAATAAGAAAAAACAAATTCTAATCATTTTTATCCATTAACGATGTCTTAAGGATAATATCGATATATCGAAAACTATCTAATTAATACGATATCATATATCGATATCAATAATCGATAATTAAAATTCTTTTCCATTGTTTATATTGTATCGTTCATTTTATTTTCTTTTTTTTTATTTCCTTTAAAATAATTTTAACGTTTAATTATATCTTTTAATATTGAGATCAAAGTTCTATTTATTACATTATACTTAAAAATTTATGAATCAGAAAAAAATTGTAACAAAAATGTATAATAATTCATTTTTTTGTAATTAGAGTCTAATTAGTTCATTGATTCTTTTCAAATAATAGAAGTTCACATACAGATACCCGAATTCAATTGGCAATATATTTAATTAGGATCTAATTAAGATATTTCTTTCCAATGAAATATATAAATCAAAGAAACGAAAACAATTGAATCATCTACTCAAGGAACATCGTTCCTTATACGATATTCGATACAATGAAAGTTCCAATATGTTAACGTGCGTGCTAGACATTCAAGAATTTAGTGGAATCAGTATTTAGGCCAACAGAAAACAAGATTAAACTACTTGTGTCAAAAAGAGAAAAGCATGGTGTCGGTCGATTTAAATCAAATGTTACTATGTCAAATATACGATATTTACCATGTTTCTAAATACATTAATTTCATCGATATTGTAGGTATATAAACTTTTTGAACATAATTGTTAGACTATATGATATTTTGCAATACTTAAGCAAATAATTTAAATAGTATATATATATACATTTTAGATAGATGAATAATTTAAAATTAACTAACTTGATTATCATTTCAGATATCAAATATCATTACTTATATCGGAGAGCTACATGGAACTTATTTAGAATTTTTATTTAATCTTATTCAATCTTTTGATTCGCTACTATTCATATTATCATAATTTATACTAAAACTTTCCATTTATTAAATTTAAATTTAATTTTCAATTAAATTTTATAAGATGGAAGAAGAACAGTAAAAAATTATTTTTCGTTTGAACGATATTTAATAATTAATGATCAGAGAAGGAGAATGCAAAATAGATCAACTGCAAATACGTAATAGACCTTCGCTAGCCTAATTACCGTCGTAAAATTAAAAAAATCGAAAGGTTGATCGTTCCTCAACAGGAATAACATGATTTATGCAACGGTGGAAAATCGGTTTTCTTTATTTTTTTTTTTTTTTTTTTAGGGCTCGTAAAATCGGATGCAAATGAGCGGAAATCCTACGAGAATTTATTTCTTTCGAATCCAATTTCGAGGATCATACTATCATTCCGAAGACCCGTTATCGCAAATTGCTCTCCGTTGACTGCATTCAACGTGGCGAGATATATTAAAGAAAATAACCAGCTATTCATACCATAACTGACTCACACCCGCGATATTTAAAAGAATTTCACGCTTCTCGGTATACATTTCCTTCATCGCGAATCTGAACGCGAATCGCGAATCTCGTCTCTTTAATTCTATACGATTCTACTTGAAACGTGTTGTTGATTATGGTCGCGGTTAAGGTAGACAAGTTTTTCCGATGAATTAACGTTATATTTTGAAAGAAATCTTTCGTCAATTTTTCGTCTCTTTTTATCTTTTCCAGAAGAGCAGAAAATATTTAATCTACATAGATAACACATTCACATTCACGGCTATTTTTTTATAATGGAAAATAGATTATTTGAAATTTTATTCGAATGATCGATCATTTAAAATTTCTTTTTAATTATTCATGTAACTAATTATCCGATGTTTAGTTATTCAAATGATTTATTATTCAAATACAGATGGATGTATATTCGAATTAATGTATCTAACAATTTTTGTATTTCCGATTTCAAAAATATTAATTTATTTTTTGTTATACATCTTTTATTATATTTTATGTTAAAAATGTATTCCTTTGTATAAATTTGTATATACATCGATATTTGAAAATTGTTTAATTGTTTCTCACGTATTGATAAATTTAAATCATTTCGATTGATTATTCGAACAAATTTATCCGAATAATTCAGATAATTCTGCTGTACTATTCTTGATTTTGAAAAGAATTTGAAAAAATTCTGAGATACTTATTGAAATTTTTATTTCATCAAAAAGTTTAAAAGATTTTGTTTTTGAAAAATAAAAATTTCTTCGAAGAGATTGTGGATCGAAAAATTTTCTTTAACAAAATATTCATTATTATAAAAATATCTCATTATTTGTAATTATATTTAATTAAATCAAGTAATTGCGGTTGTTACGCTACATAAATTCATAACAAATTTTCAAGTCATTCAGAATATTAATCAAGAAACACATCCAAGTCTAAATGTAACAGGAAGTCTTGTTTCTTTTATGACGTCAAAAAAATTTTCCAAGTTGTAAGAGAGAAAAGATTTTTTTATCCTGTTTTTCATCGAATGAAATCGTATATATATATATATAATAATGAACACATTTAAATGCAGGATGTGTGAAATGTGTATGCAATTAAAACAAATTGCTCATCGTTAATCTGGTTAGGAAACTGTTCGACCGTTTAGAAAGCCAATTCGGGCTTTCAGCAATAACAGATGAATTATTTAACACTTTCGCGAGATCATCGTCATTGTGTGATTTATTACGCGAGTGTCGATCATCCGAGATCGTGTTTAAAGTTTCGCGCGATTTACACAGAAAATATAAGAAACATATTTTGCGTGGCAAAATGTCATAAATCTTGCCACTAAATGAAAATAACTCGCGTTGAAGAGAAATTAAAATAAAAAATGATCGATTGATTAGTTTGTAAATGAAAAAAAACTAGTTTTTCCAGAACGAAGTGTCATAAATCTGTAATAAAAATGACGATAAAAAATTTTTATCTTTAAAATTAACACCATTTCACTTTCGAAATTTTTCTAAACGGTAATTCTAAACGCTTTTAAATACAAATAATGCGAATATAATCGATTCAACCGGATTTGAGAAACGATATGTTTAGATTACCAAAATAAGGGTTAACCTAACCTAAAATTGCGAAGGAATCGAAGAAGAAAAAAATTTACCAATACGTAGATAATATTAGTTCGATTAGTATGAAAGAGGAAGAGAGTTTTTTCGTTCGACAGTACAACAGTTTTAGCATAAGAGAACGCTCATTCATATGAAACGATTTGATGGTTCGAGAATTGTGTCAACGTGGTAATTAGATACCGTTAGTGTTACTACACTGCCTCATCGAGGAGTTACATTCGATCGATCGCATTCACGTAGTATCGTGTTAGAGCGCAATAACGATCTACTAGGCGAAATATATATTTCATTCGATCGAATAAATCAATGACGATTAGACGATAATTAGACGTGATAACAGTCAAGTATCGTCGATCGTAAATATTGTTCGTTCTTTTTTTTCACGATCGCAGATCATAAAAATAAATTAGAATAAATTATTGGTAATTGTAATTCGTGTTATACTGGATAATTTATATAAGATGTGATATAATATCTTCTAATTTTTAAAACTTACAATAAAATCAATGATTTGGGCGTGTCAAATAATAATAAAGTTTAATAGCCGAATTATTTTATTCGATATCGACTTTTATCGAATACTTAAAGATTACATTAATTACATTACGTATCAAATGATTATTAGTTCAAACTTGCAGTGATTAATATTCATTTCTACTAATTTTTTTTTCTTTTTTAAAAACTCGTAAACACAACTGAAGATATTCTTTTATTTTTAGTAATTAATTTTTTCAATTTCGTTAATAACATATATTTTCATTTAACGATAACAAAAATATCAATAATATTGTTAAAACAATAAAAATCATGTTTACTCTTTTAAGTAAATACGCGCTCTTAATTTGTGCAAGAAATGCAACTGTACTGCCACGTGTTTCTTTATCTATAACCATAATTCTATGCCTTTCAACTAGCGCATTCGATCAGGAATGTTGAATGAGAATACATACTAATCGTAACAAAGCCTAGCGCTCGTAGATACGAAAAGGACAAACAATTTGTGACGCAAAGGCACATTTTATCTTGGAATTAGTAATAAATAGGTTAATAAATAATTAATAATCATATGCGATCGTTGAACGATATTTGTAAATCGATATAACGAAATGAAGTAAGAAATAGAAGAAATGGAAGCACGAAATACGATTTTCCTAAATCTTTTAAAATTTTCAATTTCGTAAAAGTTTTTATATTGGAAAAATATTTGCATCTATTTGAATAATTATTTTAAACGTTCAATTAATATATTCATTAAAAAAAAAAAACAAACGAAAATTTTTTTATAATGTTATCATGTTTCAACAGTTATGTTAATTAAGACATAAATATTCATCTATGCATCTATTAATCATAAATATTAATATTATATACATTATAATTTAAAATCATTTTATTTATTTTATTTTATAATTAGACGATTATTAATTTTCGAATTCTAATGATATAATTTAAAATAAATAACTATCAATAGTTTACGTATTATTTTTGACGATTAAAACTTGAAAAATATAATAATTGATTAAAAATATAATAATATAACAATTGATTATATAAATATTGATTAAAATCAATAATAATTAATATAAAATTAATGCATAATGTTTAAATTATCAATTGTAAATTTATAAATTATCAAAATTAATTGAAATTGCAATTAATTCAAACTCGATTTTTACCTAACCTCAAAATGCATCAAAATCAAGAATCAAGAATTGCGCTAATACGAATTTCTCCGAATTATTACTGCGAAAGTAATATTTATATCAGTTTTCGTAAAGCACGTTATGTAATGTTAACGAACCAGCAAAATTTTACGCGGTATACGGTTTTTCCACTCTTACTCGAGAAATTGTTCGTGCAAAGATCCATATATATAATTTCGAATCGAATTTAATTTAAAATTGATTTGATGTTTTCAGAAACAATTTCCTTTGAAAAAAAGATGGAAAAAAATTTTATTAGATCAATTATTAAATCAATAATACAAACGAATTTTAAGTTATTTTTTTTTCGAACACAAAATATAAGTATCATAAGTTATATCGAACTAATGTATTTATTATTTATTAGTTGATAATTATACGTTAAAAAAAAAAAAAAGAATACAATTTTTTTCGAGTTTAAAGCCTCGTTTTCGAATAAAATAAAGTTTGAAAAATGTAAGTGAAATTGAATGATTAGATAAGTTGATTATTGGTAGAAGACTATTTTACATAAGTATATAAAAATAAGTAAAGAGCGTGGAATAAAATTTTGTCGTTTAAACGAAAAAATCGTACTCTACTATTTTTAGAATAATTTTGATTTACTTTATTTCACTGGATTATTCATGTTTCTTCGATAATAATATAATAATCCAGAAATATCTCATTATTTCTTTCTTCTATAAAATTTTGCATTTAAAAGAAAACGAAAGGGAAATAAAAACGAATATAACTGAGAATAAAGGGATGGGGAGGGAGAGGGGAAGTAATATTACGAGAAGATAGAAATCCTTGAATTTATCCCCTTACGAACAATAAATGAACGTATAAATCAAAAAAAAAAAAACCCTTTTTTTTTCGTAATTCAACCACGTAATTAGAATTATCATAAAAAAAATTTAATTTCCATTCTTTCGTACGATACGAAATATAATTAAAACCCACCAATGTGTATTCACATTCACATATCCAAAATATATATATAAATAATTCTCACCTTTGACATAAACTAGTAAGAACTATTCCCTATATTCCCGTCACTACGAGATGCATTACGAAATTTATCCGAGTAAAAAAGTTGGAGAACGAATCGATACGAAAAACCGGCAAGAAGAAAATGATTATTTTTTACAATTGGAAAGTGAACGGAAGAAAATTGTAACGGTAACAACCAGAAGCTAGAACGATGAATTAATTAGAGATATATCTTTTATTTTTCAGGGTCGCGACGCGTACATACATACATAATCGAACAATGGAGTCTCTATGAGCCTCGTCCCTCCTTCAAGTTTCCGCTTCCCTCCAACATCCCTTGTATCTTGATCTCAAAAAAAAAAAAAAAAAAAAAAAAAAAAAAAAAAAAAAAAGAAAAAAAAGAAAAAAGAAAAATAGTTCGATCTTTATCTCCCATTTCATCGAGAAAAAAGATCATCGTGAACATGTCCAAGTACAATGTCCAGGACGTCGATCTCGAAACGGGGAAGCAGGTTCGGTTAACCGGATACTGCAATGCCGCCTTCGAGGATCCTCTTCGAAGCAACAACAACGATCTCGATCAAATGCCCGAGTTCGAGAACAGACTCAACAATATTCGTGTTTGCAATCAGGATGATAAAACCGTGAGCAACGATGGTGAGTCTTTTTTTCTTTCTTTTTCTTTTTTTTTTCTCTCGTTGTTATTAATAAGATAAGAATATACGCTGTGTTCGATCGATACGAGGCAAAAAGTGAAGAAGAAGATTCTTGGAAGCAGAATAAAAGAAGGATATTTCGTTCGAAGCTTTGTTTTTTGTTTTTTTTTTTTTTTTTTTTTTTTTTTTTTTTTTTTTTTTTTTAGTTATTTGACAATTAATGGATGGATGGAAATGGTTTGCTCGCGCCCAAGGATATTTCTTTCTATTTTTAATTATTATCGATAACTGGAAAAAAAATAAAGCCTCGAACGAAATTTTTCTTTTTCTTTTCCCACTCTTGATTTTCGTCTTGTTTTACCTCGAACAATCATCCTTTCGATTTTCGTTGAAAATGCGATAAAAGTTTCGATATTATAAACGAGAATTCTGTCGTAATTATCGTTTTTCATTTTCCATTAAAATCGAAGTTAAATTCTTATTTCACGATATTTTTACATTCGTTGGAACGCGGCACGTGTTTTCTGCATTTTGAAATCTTTAATAATGTTTTCGATTATTCGAGGAATTATTAATTCGACGAATTTAACGATTCGTCCACGTGAACGAAAATTCCCAGTTGTCGTAAACGAGGAATACAAATATTATCCATAAGTAATCCTAAATTTACAATATGATCGATTATCTGATTGATTAATTAGTCGTATTATTACAAATTATCTTATACATATTTCGAACTTATTGTGCTCTATCTTTTAATCTCGATGAATTATTCATCGTACGATATATAATATAGAATGACCTTTAGAGTGAAGTAAAAATAAATTATATTTGTTTTTACGTTTTTAAAATTATTAAAATATCGAATTTGCTTTCTTAACAATGGCCATGAGACTCGATATTGAATTTTAAAAATTGTTTATAATTGCTGAAACGAATAATACGATTTTACGACGTTCTTATTGCTTGAAATCAATCATGCAAATGAAACTAATTACAATTTCATCGAAATTAACCAATTTTAATCAATGTTATCTGTAATTAAAAAAAAAAAAAATGTTAATCGCCAATAAATTACAACGGTAAAATTACTATCCATTTTTTTTAATTCGTCGAGAATATTTTCAAGAAAATTCTTCCATTCATCTTATCTGTTTTATCATTTCAAACTATTAATAATAATAATAATAAGAAGAAGAAGAAGAAGAAAAAAAAATCATCTTTCTTGATCTCTCGCGTTTTATATTATATCTCGAAGGAACTTTTGCGTTATTCTTAAAAAGACATTTCTTTTGCGAAACGTATGTGGGACAGAAGGATTTTACAATTTAATATCGATGAATTTTTTTAACGGCCAACCTTGATTCCCATTCTCGATTTAAATTCAATATTCAAAGTGGATAATTTCAAACACCTGATAGTCACAGGTTTATCGATTAAGAATTCTACGACATGCAAATCGCGAATAAATTATAAGGCAGATTACGAACGGAACGAAATAAATCTCCATCGAGGCAAAAGCGGATTCTTCGAGGCGTTTTTTTACGATTATTGTAAATCTTAAGCCTGTGTGCGCTAAATCCGTTTTGAGATTCAATTTTCCAACGCGGGGCCATGAGAATATTCATAAAAGAAGAAGAAGAAGAAGAAATAAAAAATGATCGTTTGATAATTTGATAGATGGAAAAGTATCGATAACGACCCAACAGTTTAACATTTTGATTATATCAATTATTCTCTCGTCGTTTTAAATTGTTACGCTAGCTGTTAATTTTTCTCTTTTTTTTTTTTTATGATGCAATTTTGCGATTGCGATTTTAAGATTATCAAAAGAATAACATGGAAATTATGAGAATAAAATTAATGTAGCGGTTCTTTAAAATTTCTTTAAAAGTAATTTCAGCCTGAGCTTATTGATTATTGAGAATTGAAAAATTGTTATTTTTGAAATGGGAAAATATATTTTAAGAATTAATTAAGTTATCTTCGGGAATTTACCTTATTCTCGTTTTTCCTTCTTTGTCAATAATTTTTCTTATCGAAAATTTACACAAAATTTAAATTTACTGGTGCTCGTGATAATGCAAAAAATACAAAATATCCAGGCATTGAAGAAATTTACATAACTTTTTTTATCTTTCCAGAGATAAAAATATTATATTTTATCATTGGTGAAATGATTGGATTCGTTCTGTGACGATTTTTAAAAATTGGAAAATTTGGACGATAAAATAAATCGACGTCAACAGTCGGTTCGAAACGCGAATCTATTAAATTAACGAGATATATTTTGATTTTAATAAAAGGAAAAAAAAAACGCAATTCATCTGATTACTTAAAAAAAGGAGAGGTCACGGGTTATTTGAATATTTCGAAGGCTATTTTATTACTAGTCGTATCGTATAAATAGAAAAAGTTGGGAAACACTAAAAGTTAAATTTTCAAATGACGTCAAAAAAAAAAGTATCGTGAGAAAAACGATACTTCGCTTAATACGAATTCTTATGAAACGGATGTAAACGAGGGGAAAAAACTTGGTATTGCAAATTTTCCTCAGTTCAGTTTTGTGGTTAGGCCAAGTGTGTTTAACAACGAAAAAATTATTCAAAGTTATGGATTTTTTAAATCTTCTGATTCATTTCGTTCCCATTTGCGAAATAATGACGTGTAATAGGAAAGCGCTTCTATTATTCTATTCTTTAAGTTTTTCCTTGATACAACCTGTTTTAAAAATGATAATGAGATTTCGTTAGCTCGTAACACTTTCATTTCAATAAACGTATAAGAGTCTTAAATAATACTATACGAGAAACTTGTTTATTTCGCGATAAAAATTAAAAAAAAATTTTGATTGAAAATAATGATTTTTATAAATAATTTGTTCGAATTATCCGAAACGAATTATTCGATTGAAATTTGGAAAATTCATCATTACCGTTTACGTCTGTCGATTGAGATATCCTCGAAAATTTCGAAATGATATATAAAATAATTCAGAATTTATATTACTGTTTCGTAATAACTTTCGCAATTGATATCGATGCCTTGCGATTATCTTTTTAAAATGAAATTTTTAAAATTACGTTCATTTTTCAAGCCGAACGATATTGAAATTATTTTTAATTGCAATTACTGAAAATTTTCTCGATTTTATCGATTAATTTTTAGCTGAAATTCTAGAATCTTAAAAATATATCTCATCTTTTTTTTTCCCTCTTTTATTTAATTTTTCAATATGTAACAAAAATTACTTATATTTATTATTACTTATATTTTCGCGAATTCGATCGATCAAACGTTAATACTCCATACGATTTGTCATTGTAAGAAGAGCCAAAGAAAAGCCAAATAATTTATAATTCTTTGTTAAAATATATTAAAATATAGATAACAATTTAGCAATAAATAACGATATAAGAACGATATAAAAAATTCTCTTCTCTAAACATTATCTTTTTTAACGAAATAATTGAACGAAATAACTAAGAAAATATCAATTAATAGAAAATTAAAAGTTTAAAAATTTTCGATTCATTTAATTCTAATTTTCTGCAAAAAAAAGAAACGAGCAACATTCGATCCGGTGAAATTTCATTTAACGTATGTAATGTCGATTGAATGGATATCATTTTTATTCATTGGACAATTTATATTTTCCTTCAAACATCACGTGCTGTACGCGCAGAACCAGTTAAACCTGTCTAACTTCACTTTTGGACGCAATTATCACCAGTTATACGGGAACTACAGCACTATGCACACTCAAATACATATTATGGTAATCCTAATATCCCGTGACTCGAGTCAGATGCCTCGTGGCCACACGGTTTTCTTTTTATTCCGCTATCTTTTTCCTCTTTTCGTCGTACTTTCTAAAATCGTTTATTTAAAAAGGTCGTCACGCGATCCGAGGAATCTACATCGTTATTCCACACACGTGTTAACTATTTTCCTACACGTTTAATTATACCGTTTGCCCATTGTAAACGTTTCACAGCTTGTCGTGCAATGATCTTTGTTTACATGTGTATTGTCGTTTCGTGCATTAGATATCGGGAATACCTTTCACGTTAAAATACTTGAAACGTTTTTACACTTTATGTTTTTTCGTACACTAAAGATGGAAGAAAATGTGAAAATTCTATATGCTATAAGATTTTTTATAATTTTATATGAATGAATTATTGAAGATTACTTAAGGTGAAATATATATAATAATTAAAAATATTGTAAAAAGAAATGAAACTTAATTTATAAAATATGATAAATTTTCACTCTCTTATATTTCATCGCTCGATTATATACAATTATATTTTTTTAATAATAAAAAATGAAATTTTTTTTTCCAGTTCCTCAAAATCCTGAAAAAGATCTATTATGCTCTTTAGGAAGGAAATGGGTGTATCAACGAATCAAAAGATCGTGCAAGAAAAAAATGGTTTACAAAAGGGTACCTATAGCAGCGTGGATACAAACGTATCGTAAGGATTACATAGTAAGTGATCTCGTTGCTGGTATTACCGTAGGCCTTACCGTTATACCACAGGCGATAGCTTATGCGAATGTGGCAGGACTTCCTTTGCAGGTAAGAACGTTTATTCTCTCATCTTTCCAAGTTTTATTTAAATATCATATTAATGTTTAATGTATATTATTTTTTATATATATTATTATTATCATTATTTTTTTTAATATTGTTTATTTGTTTTTACATTATTCGTTCTAAAATTTTCTTTTTTTTCGTAGTATGGTTTATATTCATCTTTTATGGCATGCTTCGTGTACACTATCTTTGGATCCTGTAAAGACGTTCCAGTTGGGCCAACTGCAATTATCGCAATCTTGACGAGAGAAACGTTACAAAAATCTGATTTAGGGCCCGATTTTGCGGTTCTTTTAACATTCATCTCTGGTTGCGCGTGTTTATTAATGGGAATTTTACATTTAGGTATATTATCGATCATTTTTCTATCAAATATATATATATTTTTGTACAAAGAAATACTTTAAATACAAATATTATTTAATAAATATTTATATATTTTCTCTTATCAGGTTTTTTATTGGATTTCATATCAGGACCAGTTTCGGTCGGTTTTACATCGGCAGCAGCGATAATTATTGCTACTAGCCAAGTGAAGGATATTCTAGGCATTCATATCGGCGGTAGTAAATTTGTCGAAGTATGGCAAAATATATTCGAAAAAATTGGAGAAACAAAACTTTGGGACAGTGCATTGGGTATCACTTGTATAATCGTACTACTTCTTCTTAGAGTTAGTATCATCATTGAATGTAAAATAACATGTACAATGTAATCTTTATTAAGTAAATTTTTAAATAAACATTTAGTAGTCTAAACTATTTAGAACATTATCTAATAAATAGATATTTTTTGTCGTAAAAATAAAATAAGTAAAAATTTTTTTTTTCTTGCAGAAAATCAAAGATATACCATTTATGCAAAAAGCGGCAAAAATGTCGTCGAGAGTACAAGTAATTATGCAAAAATCACTTTGGTTATTGTCCACGGCACGAAATATTCTCGTGGTCCTCGTTTGCGGTGTTATATGCTGGCTTTTAGAAAGTCACTTAGGTTCCTCACCCGTTAAATTGACGGGCCACGTTAAACAAGGACTTCCGGAATTTCAGCTACCACCGTTTCAAACCTATCACAAGAACGAAACTTATAACTTCGTCGATATGGTTTCCGCACTCGGTTCTGGATGTCTAGTCATTCCTTTATTGAGCCTCTTAGAAACCATCTCTATTGCCAAAGTTTTTAGTGAGTTTTATGTCATATGTCTTGTTACGCATATAATAACAATATAGTATTATATAATGATTAAGTTTTTATCTGTAAATTGTATTATGTATTATAAGATCTCGTGTAAAGAAAACATTATTATTTTTTATAGATGAAGGTAAACCAATCGATGCGACTCAAGAAATGTTGGCTTTAGGCGTATGCAACGTTGTGTCAGCTTTCGTTTCTTCCATGCCCGTAAGCGGTGGCCTTAGTCGTGGTGCCGTAAATCATTCATCCGGAGTGAAAACGACTCTTGGTGGTGTTTATACTGGACTTTTAGTACTTGTATCACTTCAGTTCCTTACCCCATATTTGTACTTTATTCCTAACGCCGCCCTTGCTGCAATCATCATCGCGGCTGTCATTTTTATGGTGGAATTACACGTGATTAAGCCTATATGGAGAACAAAAAGTACAGTTTAAATATAATGTTTTTAATATTAATATTTTTAAATATAATGTTAATAATACACGATAATACTCGTTTATTATGAATATATAGTAGTTTTAAAATTTTACTATGAACAGATACTTTTCTGAATATATTATACAATAAATAAATAAATTTCTTTTCAGAAATTGATCTCATACCAGCTGTGGCTACATTTTTATGCTGTCTTTTTATAAGACTTGAATTAGGTATAGTAATTGGTATCGGTATAAACGTTTTGTTCCTACTTTATGCTTCAGCAAGACCATCGCTACGAGTTCATAAAGATACAGTAAGGAAGTTTTCATATATACATACATGATATAAATTAATGATCTTATTCATTTTTTTATAATGAGAAATCATATTGTTATAAATATATATACAATGTAATATTTATTTTAGAGTATCAACGGCTGTGAATATCTTGTCATAACGCCCGACAGAAGTCTCGTTTTTCCAAGTGTCGAATACGTGCGGGCTGTAATTAGTAAGCAAGGTACAAAACAGGGAACAGCGGTACCTGTTGTTATAGATTCTACACATATCCAAGCAGCAGATTTTACAGCTGCAAAGGTACATTATAAAATGTTATAATAGAAGATGGAATAATATAAAATATAGAATAATCAAAAAAAATATTCAAAACAAAAAAAAAAATTATATATATAATCAAGATAGAAAATTATCAATATTATATAATTTATTTGTATATTATAATTTATATAATTCATTATTTAGGGAATTAAAAGTTTAACGGAAGATTTTTCCAAACGTGGACAACCTTTGATTTTTCATAATTTGAAACCGAGTATTATTGAAATTTTCAAAGGTGTAAAACCTTCTGGTTTGAAATGTAGTTCTAGCGAACTTGAACTTAACGATTGTTTGAAAGGTAATTAATTAATTTTATTTTTATATAATATATTATATGATTAGATAATTGATTTATTAATAATTGTTAAATTTTATATAGATGTGTATAATTTAGATTAATTAAACTAGTATAAAACTTTTATTTATTTTCAGAATTTTCAAATTCGTCAACTACTATGAACAGGTACTGATAATATTTAGACTTTTATAAATTCCGTCCCGGAAGTACTCCTTTTTTTTATTTTATACATATCAGTATTATATTAACTCGAAAACGAACAATATAGATAATATTATAATAAAGAGGAACAATATGTTTTAATAATTATTGTAATTAAGTATCAATTAACCCTTTGGATACAATATTACATTATACGACGATATTTCATGTATGTAATTTCACATAAATAAAATAAAAACTTTTCAGTACTAAGAATATATGTAATACATATTAATGATAAGAACAAGAATATATTAAATATATTAATTTTAAATATTATAAGAAGATATATTATGAATAAAAACTATATTATGAATATTGTATCAAAAGGGTCTATTATAATTATATAAGATTATGAGATATGTATATAAATTTATAGATGAATATAAATTTATATAATTTATCAGTAGCATTTTTTATATACATGCATTATTGTACATGCAATTTAAAAGTTATTATATAACATATAATAATATGTAATATTTTATATTATTTCAAAAAAAAATTAACAAATATTAAAATTTGTTTAAGCATTTTATTTTAAATCTTATATGATATACTATAAAAAAAAATCAAAATTTTTAAGAGTATATCACTTTTTTTTTAAATTAAAGAGAGTTAGTTTAATATAAGTGTAAAAATAAAGTTTGAGTTTTTTTTTATTATATCCATTTTATTTGTAAACATGAAACATATTGTTGCAATTAGATGATAATTTTTTACTATCATATTCTTTAATTTTTGTCTAAAATTCTTGCACCCATTGCAGGTTCTGCTATATAAAATGTTGCATTTCCAGAATATCTGTAACAAAATACTATATATAAATATCATTATCAAATTCAAAAATTATAAAAGTGTTACAAAAACAACAATCTAACTTTGTTTTCATATGATTGATTGTTTGATCAATTACATCTTTTCTTAATAATGTTACTGTACATCCTCCAAAACCAGCACCAGTTAGACGGCTTCCTAAAACTCCATTTATTTCTCTTGCTGCTTTTACTAAAGTGTTCAATTCAACTGAAGAAACTTCATAATCATTTTTTAAAGAATCATGACTTTCATTCATTAACTGTCCAAATTTTTTGATATCTCCCTTTTCAAGAGCTTCTACAGCATCAATTGTTCTTTTAATTTCTGTGACTACATGACGAGTTCTTTTTATCATTTCTTCAGGTACATTTTGTGATTTTAAAACTAAAAATAAAAAAAAAATATAAAATATCAAAATTTAATAAAAAAAAAATATTTTTGTTTTTTTTGATATAATTACATTCTTTAATTTACCTTGAATATCATTCATAGATACTTCACGTAAACTTTTTTTATTTAATCTTTTTGCAACTTCATAACAACAATCTCTACGTTCACAATATGCACTTGAACTTAATTTATGAGGTGCATTAGAATTAGTAATTAAAAAGATATAATCATTTATTTTTGATATAGGTATTTGTTTAGTACTAAGATCTTTGCAATCAAGAAGAAGAGCATAACCTTCTTTGGCCATCACAGAAATAAATTGATCCATGATGCCGCATGGAACTCCAGCAAAATCATGTTCAGCTTGTTGACAAGCTAATGCCTAAACAACACTTCTAATAAATTTTTCTGTTTTAATAAAATTAAAATTAAAATAAATAATGCAATTATACTTTATCTTCTGGCTTTTCTGATTTTATACCAGTTAATGCTTCCAAAAATGTATAAATAGCAACTTCCAAAGCAGCTGAACTACTTAAACCAGCACCAATTGGTACAGTAGACAAAATAATAGCATTAAAAGGTGGCACATCACCTAGAATTAACATTATATAATATTATATTACTTTATTATCTTTTATTAAAATAAATTCAAATAATAAACAAACTGACAAATAAAATTTGCTACACATCCTTTTACATAATTAGCCCATTTTGGTTCTCCAGGTTTTATATTTTTACGAGAATTAACTTCAAATTCAGTATGATTTTCAGAATTAACTATATCATTAAGAGAAACAATTTTACATTTTTTTCCATTGCTAAGTTTTCCCACTACAAGTGTAACCATGGGCAATGCCTATAATATATTAATTATGCATTATTGGTATTTATTTAAGTGCCAATATTATTTATTAATATTTTTTAAAAAGTTTAATAGCTGTTCAATTAAAAAATATATTTTTCAATGAAAATAAAATGATTCTTAAACTCTATTTGATTAAATATAAAGAAATAATAATATTACAATAATTATAATAATTTTTAACAATTATCATTCAAATTTATCCAAAAATTAATTTTTTATTAATATTCTATTATTTGTTTAATATTTTCATTAATAAATTAAATTTTAATAATAATAGATTAATTAAATTTTTAAATTAATAACATAAGAAATAAATATTTAAAGAAATAATTAATGTGTTGCCGATATTAGTAATGTGAAAAATTATTTTTTTCAAGCAATAGCTTATTATATGAAAAAATTTTTTTAATTTTTGTATATACATTAAATTATAAAGCGCAAATTTAATTATGTAAAAAAAAACTAATATTTATATAAACATCAATAATTTTACCATGGGTAAAACAAAACCTTCATTATAATCTGTATGTTCTCCGATTAAATTCACACGACCGGGTGCACATACACAAATATTCGCATTATCTCCAAATTCATTTGCAAAAGCTTCCAAAGCTTTTGATTTTATTTCATTTATGTCAGGCACAATTGTTGCCATTTTAACTAATTATTCTAAAACTATTTATATTTAATGACACTTAACACACAAAATTCATGCAATTAAATTTTTATATTAAATTTTTAATATTATTTATTCTTCTAATTCAAATATAACTTAATTTTATATAATACATAGAATATTGAAAATACGAATATCTATTATACTTCAAATAAATAAAATTAATATATCAAGTATTTGTTATATCTATTAATTTTATTTATGTGTGCCGTTTGCTTGTAAATGTAAATTTTATCTTTTATAATAATGCAAGTATTCTACGTATTATATATATATATGTATAATATCATTATAAATAAAATACATTCAGTAAACGTGACGTTTGAAGTATAACAAATATTCTTTTATATTGTTAAAACAATAATATATAAATAAGTTAATTGAAAATGATATTTCTTTTGATCGTTAAGAATTTCTGACTAGTTTATTTAATAAAGATTATTGATGTTTGACAATAATTCAAGTTGATAATGCCATGACGGTCTCAAATCCCCTTATTAAAGAATTGAAAGGTAATTAATTATAATATTTTTGTAGGTTAGAAAATTATTTCAGCAGTAAGATTATTATAATAAATAATAATATCTTTTCTATTAATTATTTATATTGAATTATAAATATTTTCATTTTTAAGTTTTGATATCTGACATCTAAAATTATTATATTATATAAAAAAAATAATCTATTTTATAATGATTTCTTGTTTTTTATTTTATATTTCGTTTTAATAAGATTTATATTAAATTTTTTAAAAATACATTATATTTTTTATTCTTTTTTTAAATTTTAAAATTAAACAATTAGCATTATAATGAATATTTATTATTATTAAATTAATTATTAAAAGAAACAATTTTCAGGTTGGACAAAGAAATTAACTGAAAGTGACATTGAAATTGATGAAGAAAACAAAGATCTACCTTTTTTTTATAAAAGTTTAGAAAAATGTTTTCAAAAAGGAATATTGATGCGTTTAAATCCAATAGGTTTTCCAAAATTACCTGATGCTTGGTATTGGTTGGAAGAAATTGCAGAAAAACATTTTAGGTTTGAAAAAACATAAAAAAGAAAATTTATATTATATATTATATTTTTCATATTATTATAATATTTAAGAAATAAAATATTTATATTAAATTATAAATATTTATATTAAATATTTATTATTTTAGTTCTTGTTGCACTTATTCTTTGGTTGTTGAACAAGTGAAAAAAAATCCAAAAGTTTATACACCTACTGGACGTCTTAGGCTTTTAATTAAAACATGTTTGATACGAAAGTGCCTTCATATGCCAGTTGAAATGTTGGTATGTATATTTTTTTATATTACAAAATTAATTTCTTAACATAATATTTTTAATTAAAATTTCATAGGTCAGAACACCATTAATGTCTACTGACTATTATGATAGAAACAGTATTCTGGGAGATAATATTCTTGGAGAAATATTTTTATCAGTATTACTGCAAAGCAGTAAATTAAATTTTAAATTGAATTTACGAAATTGTAGTTTTTTAGATGAATCTTGGCAATTACCAGAATGTGTGGCTTTGGAATTAGTACCATGTAAAAGTTTAGGTATTTCTGTATGGTAAGAAATTAACATTTGTAAAGATAAATTATCAGTAATTATTCATTATAGATATTATGAATCTTGTATTATTGCAGTTTTACAAAAGGAAGAGCTTTAATAGTTAACTTGGATAAAAATTCTGTGGCTGCAGAAGATGTAATGAACACAATTTTTTAAATTTTTATAACATTATTATTATTATTTTTTAATATAATTTTATTTAAAATATTAATTTTATTTAATTTTTATTTTTAGGATAAAGTTGAAATTGGAGATATTTTAGATGAAATAAATGGAAATGCTATAACATCTAATACTAGAGGACAATTACGTAAATTTATGAAAAAAACTGTAGGTCAACCAGTCTGCCTATATGTAATTAAAGTATGTATATTAAAATATATAATAATAATATTATCTATATAAATATTATTTTCTATATTAATATTATCTATATAATAATAATATAATACATACAATAGTACATATATATAATACATCTTATTTAATAATTCATACAATAAATAATTAAATAATTTTCAGCATCGTAATAAAAAAACTTATGAATTGTATGCACCAATTGTTCATCTTATAAAAAGTTCAGGTATTGAAGGTTTAAAAAAAATTTTAAAAAGATTTAATTCTGAAATACAAGATGAGAATGAAAAAACTGAAATAACTAAATCAGAAAATAAATCATTGAATGCTGGTTTCTCTGTTAAATATTGTGGTTCTATATACATTGGTACAAAAGGGGATGTTAAACAAATAGAAAGAGCAATTTTGCAAGTATTAAAGTCAGAAGAAATAAAATCAGTGCCTGTGAAATTTGAATGTCTGGAACTAGGAATTAGAGTGACTCAAGATTCAAATGACATGGTATGTAAACAATTTTTATCACATATAAATATATAATATATAGTATATAGTATCATAATAATATATTTTATTTAAATGTTTAGGTGATATGTAAACAAAGTTACATGGAAATTTCATCTTGTGGTCGTACAGGAAACATTCCTAATTATTTTGCATTTATTTCAGGGTAAAACAAATATTTGTTTTAATATAAGCAATAATAATTAACATAATTTTGTTATATTAATATAATAATTAAATTTTATTGTAATATTTATATTAATATATTTTTTATTTACTTTAGAGATACTAATTGCAATATAGCAACTAAATTTGATGCATATGTATTTTATCATCAAAATGAAAATGAAGTGCAAACTATATTACAAAGTTTGGGTCAAGGATTTCAACGCACTCATTTTGCAGTTTAATTTAAAAAAATTATTTTACATGAAATTATTCTTTAATGATATAATCAAACTTTATGTAATTAGACATTTCTAGCATATTTTCATTCATTCACATATCTAGTCAACTATTAATGAATTGTATTTTTTATTTATTCTAGTCCTTAAGAAATTTCCCTCCCTAATAAAAAATGTTCATTAGAATTAAGTGATTTCTTTTAAAAAATAAATAAAATTGGATGTTTCAATTATTAGAATAAAATAAGAAATTGATATTATATATATTTTTTGATTAAATACATAATTGTATGTATTTAATTAAATAAGATATTTTTATTATAATTTAAATATTTCCTTTAGAATAAAAAAATAAATTATTAACATAAACATATTTATTAGATAATCAAGCCTGTATATATACAAATAATTAAATAAATTATATATATATGCGTGATTGAATTTTATATTTTTGTACATAAATCTTAATTATTTAAAAAAAAACAATTTTTTTTTCATGAAAGCCGAAGATTAATTTGTATCATTTAGAATGGCATGCATATATTACATATACATATATAAGAAATATATATGTATATATACATATAACCTCTTATGTTGTGTTTGTCAAATTGAAGCTGCTTCCAAACAAGATAAATTTATCAACTACCTTTTTACATACATGCATGCTAATACATATATATATATTTTATACGCGAACTATACATATATACATTATAAATGTATATATACATATATATATATATATCTTAATAAGAAATTAAATTTAATTTTATTTTGACAGATGCTTTGAAATGACGATTGAGGAATGAACAATTCTCGATTTGAAACAAGTCGATAACAACTCGATCGGTGAGAACAATCAAAAGGCATCTCAAATCGGTGGATTTTAAGTCGGGGTTGGGGTCGGGTTCGGGGTCGGAGTCAAGTTCCTTGCTTGCGACGTGCGCCGTAACCGTTGCGCCGTGTAACCTTCTGTCAGCCGTCGTCGGCAGAGAGCGAGTACTCAGTGATTAGAGGAAAGATGGCTACGAACTTTGGCGTAGAGTGCCAGTACTTTTACGAAGATGTTGTCTATCGTGTGGATAAGAAAGGAAACGTTGTGTTTGGAATCGTTATGGAAAATGACGATCAGGATTTATCCGAAGAAAGTTCTGACAGCGAAGAGAGCCCGAAAAGAAAAAAGGGCGAGATTCGCGTGGTCTGGCATCCCTCCGGTGTCGAGGAATTGGTCAGCTCAAAAAAGGTATTTAATATTTAATATGATAAGAAAACATTTCTCTTAAAAATAACAGATTATATATTAAATGATTTTTAATATTTTATTATGTCATTTCTCTTCTTTTATTGTATTTGTTTTTAATTTTATGCAAAGCGACACCTGTCATGCCAATGATATCTACAATTGAATGTTACGTTCAAATTTGAATCCATATTTGATATAATAACGGTGATTTTTCATTGTTATAAAAGTTACTTTTTAATTTATTTTTTATTTATAGGTACATTTAGCAGACAGAACACTTATGCCAGGAGATGTTGTACGTCGAATGATTAAAGGAAAGGATACACAAAGAGGATATTGTAGAGATATTGAGCTTACTGCTTGTGTTCAAGTGATTGGTACTAAACAAGTCCTTACCAATATTAGGAGTGAAGATTTAGTTCCTTTGGAAGTATGTAATCGTGCATTTATAATGCTTATTTTACTATAAAATTAACTCATACATTTATCTATAGGAATTTGCAACAGATATAGCTGTTTGTATGGATTCATGGGTTGGTGGTATAAAAATGGCAAATTTTAAATTATGGCTTACTACACCTGATGGATCTCGTTGCGTTATAAATGAAACAGATTCTCGTGTCTTAGGACAATTAGAGGAGAGACGTGACAATGTAAGAATCAAATCCAGAATAATTGTTTGATCAAAAATACAATAAAAATTTTTTAGGACAATGATTTTCCTCATTCTTCTGAATTTTATCCTGGTCAAAGTTTATGGGGACCAGTTCACTGCCTAGAAGATGCACAATGGATTACATGTACAAAAGAAATGAAAGCAAAGAGAAAATCTAAGCCACAGAAATTAACAAAAGTAATTGTAGAAAAGGTAGAAACAGATTGGGTAGGAGTGCATTGGCAGTGTAGAGCATATTCAAAGGATGGTGCTTGGTCAGATCAAGCTCAGCCAAAATTTGTAGTTCAAGGAGAAAATTTGAAAAAATTAAAATTATTGAATGTTTTTGAACCATCTACTGTGCAAGTAGGGGATCGAAAT